GCCTTCACCCAACAAATAAAATTTTACAGAACCACCAGATATAATATTAGTTTTCGCCCAGCAAATGAGAATTTTAAATGTTCGACCAAATATTAGTCTTCGTCCGGCAAATGAGAATTTTAAAACTACCCAATCTAGTTTTATCTTTGTAAGCGAATAAGAATTTTAAAAAATACCCGACATAATGCAGCATTAGTCTCCTCGTAGCAAATGAGAATTTTAAAAAAACTACCCAATTAGACACATATTTTAGTCTTCGCAAGTAAATAAGAATTTAAAAAGCCACCAGACCTAATATTAGCATCGCAGCAAGTGAGAATTTTTAAAACCACCAAATTTAATACATATATTATTAGTCTTTACCCAGAAATTGAGAATTTTAAAAAACCACAATACATGTATTAGTCTTCGCCAAAAAATGAGAATTTTAAAATAATCATTTATAATTACATAGTTTTTATTAAAAAAAGAATTTTGTGTTTTTAGCTTTTTACGAAAATAACTTACTCGCACGGGTTTATATGAAAATCACATGATTTTCATATAGACCCGTGCGAATAAACGTTCGAAAAAAGCACGGGTTGTTACATAAGACCCGTACGATAATATGAGTTATGTAAATTATTTTGTAAAATATAGGAGAATTTACAGATAAGGGCTCAAAAAACGAAAATAATTACAAATAAGGGCCCAAAATGAAAATAATTACAGATAAGGGCCCAAAAAACGAAAATAATTACAAATAAGGGCCCAAAATGAAAATAATTACAGATAAAAGCCCGATATTTAAAAATTATTACAAATAAGGGCCCAAATATACCGTCAATATTACTAGCCGATTTAAATGTAATGGTATCATGATTAATTGCTTCTTTCGTGGTTAAATAGATATTTTAGAGTTATAATTCATTATTCAGAATTAAAAAACAAAATCCAACCGACTGACAGATTTTTGAAATCCTGCAATGCAAAACGAAAAATTAACTATGTGTGGCCTAATAGCTTTACTCCTCCAAGCTACAGTGTATGATGTCTAGCTCCCACTTCAGAACGAGCACGATTTATAATATCATGATAGGTCGAAGTACTGCTATATCTTTAACTAATGACGCAGTAAACTTTATAAGGTATGATCCACGCGCTTTGAATACTTCCATAGAAGTTAAACAAATTGGAACATGAGGAATCAGTCTTACGATATGTATATAGCCATCTTTACGCTTGTTAACTGAAATAGTAAAAGGGCATGAAGTGGTTTCATTTGTAAAACAAATAGCCAACAGCTTATTTTGTTTGTTCGTTCTGAACTTATAAAAAGAAATTCAACAAAATAACCGTCCAAGGCCGAATGTGCATTTTCATGTTAGTTGAAATCATACCGATCGGTAATTTTGTATTTGACATTGTGTTTGTTATAAGGAATATTATTACGTTTCTTACGCGTTAACAATTAATGACTATATTACAATCATATATCATCGAAACGGGGTCATAGGTTCTAATTATTTTGGACCCTTATTTGTAATAATTTTCAAATATCGGGCCTCTATCTGTAATTATTTTCATTTTGGGCCCTTATTTGTAATTATTTTCGTTTTTTGGGCCCTTATCTGTAAATTCCCCTAAAATATATTATCGCTATGCAATTCTCGATGAATAAGTTCTTGAGAATGGATTATTTGAAAATCAGGTGCAATACAATAAAGTTATTGATTTTTCTATTCCATTTGTGCTAAGAATGAAATTTTCTACGCAAAGATCCCTTAGTTGCATATTGCATAACAAGAATAACAATTTCTAGAAATATTATTTCTTGATATTCGAATATCACAATATGTTTCTAACTTAGCATTAGTAAAGAAATACGAATTAACTTTTTTTAAAATTTTAATATAATAGCACATAAATAAAATTACCTCTTTTATAAATTCATTCATATTATTTTTCTGAATTATGAAGAATTTAATTGCAACAAGTTTGTCTAAGACTTCGTGTTTCCATATAGCATAATGTACTGTACGTCGCTTCTCTATGGTTTCGATATTTTTACATTCGTTATAAGGAATCCAAGACAATGGATATTCGCTTTTGATTAAAATACATATATTTGCCTTTTTTGTTGCCAATAAAGTTAAATTGTTATCATTAGACTAACTTATTTAATAATAAATACAATATTCAATTGTTGAAAAGAAAATATATAAATTATAATGATAATATTGTATAAAATAGCTTACATTTAACACCATTGGCCTTTAGTAAGTCTCTTGTTACTCCAATCCCGTTTTTTATAAAAAAAATTCAACACGATTTATTGCAACAACTTCCCCATCTTTACAATAAATGAATGGTCTATAAGTTGATTTTAATAGAAGATTATTTCATTTTTTAATAATCTGTGGTCGAAAATGCACATTAGTAGAATACTTTGAGGGGATAAAGCTCCATTAAAAAGCCTGTCGTAACCCACATAGGAACGCATTACATAATCTAGAAAACTCGAGCAAAATTGAGAACTCTAATATCCCATTCATACTCTGATAATAGTTAGGCTAAAATTTTAGGATAGACTTCTCCAAGTAACATGAGCAAAATGCTAAGCAGAAAATTGAGACACGCCCGAGAACAAAATCGATAAAAATAAAAATTATAAAAATCATAACAAAATAGCTGAAGCAATTTAAAATAGAACAATAACAACTTCTACGTTACAATCAAATCTAGATGCACAAATAGTTTGATCTTACTGATGCCGGAATAAATCACTTCTATCTATCTGAATGTCTATGCCTATCTAATAATTAGCTATTTTGCATGATCCTATCTAATAATTAGCTATTTTGCATGATCCTATCTAATAATTAGCTATTTTGCACGATTACCTACCTGCGAAAAAAGCACATATTTGATTTACAAATTTAAGAGCTCTCTAACCGGCAAAGTTTTGACTATCCCAATCTTAGTTGGAATTTTTAAGTCTATAGTGATTTTATCACATTTTCTAATAGCACTTCTAATATTTTGTTCGTTTTTTTGTGCAATAAGAACATTTCTAACTGCTTGACGCACAAAAGTGCCGAGCTTGTTAAACATTTCTGGATCATTCTTTAGTGCTGGTAAATCGGTGGCTTTCAAATGCAGTTTAAGTACTTGTTTCCACACATCGTCAGTTATAAAATCCGACAATTCACCGATTGATGGTATTTCTTCTCTAAAAATTAATCAATTCCATATTTACCCAAAATAAAGCCCGGGGTATTATTTAGGGGCATGCAATTTGAAGAGAACTAGTAACTAATTTAGCAAAATATAAACTATAATTTGTTTTTAAAAGATCTTTAGCTGAATTAATTATTAGTTCTATTCAAATTGTTCTCCTATACAACACCCCGGGACATTATTTTTGGTAAATACAGTAACATTATCTTTTAAATTTTCTATTTCGATTTCAAATCATATATATAACCACTACTAAATACTTACTGATCATATGTTTCCGAAAATTCATCAGCAAGGCTTGATATCGCAACATATAACTTGTAGCGATAAGAATCGAACCAATACCCCATGTCTTTAGCCAAAGTCCCAAGGCGATAATCACTTTTTTTAATTTTACAAACTTTAATTATTAGTTCTTTATAAAGTTCTGTAGTATTATTTCGCGTTCTAAGGAAGAGTGCTTTGCACTCTTCCTGTAATTGAACTTTCATGTACTAGATTGAAAATACTATAAGTTTTACATGTATAGTAATTATTGACATATATGAAGATTTTACCTTATCAATTTCTGGACGGTTCAACATAGTATTGTACGGATTAGTAGTATTTAAGGATACTTTATTGTCTGTTATCTTAGCTTTCATCGCGTCATGTATAGTATTGGCTAAATTTAAAACACTAGGATGATGAGCTACCCATAAGGCTACTTCAAACTCATTTGATGCATTTTGAAGTTCTGTAAATGCATCACGTCTTTCGAAATCATCTTCACTATCTATTAGAATATTACAAAGTCATTCCGATGTAGCTTTAAATTGTGTTATATTAAAACAAATAATTCTTACCCTTATGTGATGTTGCTGTCGAAGTTACCATTCTCGCACTTGAACTTGATGAAGATAGCACCGTCGCAGTATCCTGGCCTCTAGATGTTGAAGATGTTGCAGTATGTAAAATCTTCTTGGTTGTTGACTCATTAAGGTAATCGGGATCATGAACTAAACAAATAAAATATTATAAGTTCACTTAATACTGTATATTCTAATTTGACCCGTATACAATCACTATCGCAATACCCTCACCTGAAGATGTTGCAATATGTGAAGTCTTCTGGGTTGTTGACTCATTAAGGTAATCAGAATCATGAACTAACAATAAATAAAATATTATAAGTTCATTTAATATATTCAAATTTGACCCGTATACGATCTTTTTATTGTAAAAAAATAGTACCATCGACATAATAATTTAAACCATCTAAATTTAAATATAAACCAATTTTAAATCACTCATATAACGCATACCTGAAGTTTTTTCATGACTAAAATCATCCTCTAAATCATCCTCTTCATCGCTGATAATTTTCTTAATTGGTTGCTCAATTCTTTGATCTCCGTTATCTGCTAATTTCTGCCTTTTTGAAGATGAAGCTAATGCCCTGGAAACAGAATCTAGATATGCATTATTTGCCCGTGATAAAGAAAGAGTTATAAATCAGTAAATACTTATTTATTGCCACTAATACTTTTATGCTCGCTGCAATAATAAGTGCATGAAATTAACAAATAAATAACATACTAATGGAATTGCGTGCTTGAATTCTAACAGGAGTTATTTTTTTATTCGATACCAGTGCGGTGTGAACTTTCTTTTTCGTATAATCTATAAAAATTTTTGTTATATTTAGTAAAGATCTTTTTAAGAAAATTTTAAAATATTATTTATTTACACACTTGTGGATTTTTTTCTAAGAGCCATAGTAAAATAGTAAAATTCCGTAGCAAAGAAACTTCTTATAAAAGCACATATATATCATATTTGATATTACACATCACTTTTCAAACTATTATTACGTGTAAACTTTCTTCCAAAGTATGGGTAATCTTATTTACATGTCATTTATATTCGATTATATGTTGTACGTCAAATTGACATCTGTCTCAGACTAAAACAATTATACTTTAACATGAGCACATAAGAATTTTGTGATTCTGAGAATTTACATTTATGAAATTTATTCTTATTCCTTAAGATCTCAGTAAATCACAAGATCCTGTTCTAATTCTGAACTAAACTTTGATCTTAAGGTTCTTAACAAATCAAAATTTTAGACTAAGTTTGAAAAAAATATTTAAGTTTGACTTGAAAATAAATCTTTTAATTAAGTTTGATTTGATTTGAATTTGATTTGAATTTGATTTAAAAGGTTGTAAACATGTTTGAGTAGTTTGAGTTTGATAAAATTTTTTTTAAAAAATATTTATTTTTGATGCGAAATGCATTGTATGCGGGTGGGTCATATGTAGTAATGTCAACTTAATTAATTTTAATAAGCAAAATAGATTTGCACAAAATATTTTAATTATAGTAATTGCGAAAATTGCATAATTAAATTTAGTATTTAAAATTCTAAAATATACGTATGTACAGTACATACGTGTATACAGCGAACAGCAGAGACAGTGCCCGATCCAAAGTGAATCTCTCTCGCCTGTGATCAATCACAAAATTAAATTATTGTCGTGGCTGAAGCTGGAAATGGCTGAAGCTGGAAATTTTAAATATTTTAATATGAAATTTACAAAAAA